AAAAATAAAGTGTCATCCTCTAGGCACACTTCCAATGCAATTAATCATGTTAATACCTATAAATAAAGTGCAATCAACAGTTACTTTAACAGTGCATGATAATTATTTGTAAAATTGTTGCTGAAAGGGACTTTATTTGGCCAGTTTTACCATGTCTGGGGGACATATTGGGCATATAATTGGAGTTGCTGAGAAAGCAGGACAAAATCAAATCATTAACAGCTTCCATGTTACAGGTGGAATCAATGTGATTATTTACAGGGGAAGATAAAGGACATTTGAGAGAAATATTGCAACTATGATTTCACTTGTTAAATGAGTGATTTTTGCTTCTAGATCTTTTTGAAAGAGGCTCTGTAAGAACAGGATTTCTTGGGGAGCCAACAACTCTGGAAATATGGTGTCAGGGGTGGGTGAGATTAGGGGAGGGAGGGAGGTGAGACCAGATGCCCCTTAACCTGATGAGTCACCGGAATTTGATCCAAAGGAGCCCCAAGCAGCTACTGAGAGTGCAGTACATCTCCAAAGATCCTTATATCTCTCCTTCATTTGTGCCTCGCTTCATTAATGCAAACATTATTGACTGATCCACTCCTAGCCCCTGCTAGAGGCTGCAAATGGGTCTTTCCCCTGAAGAATACACAGACAAGTATAGTGCATGATGCATTTCTTTATCCCTCTAGAGTTCCTGGCTAGGTCTGAAATAGGAACTGACAAAGACAGATTAATGGAAGTGAAGCATAACAAATGTATTTAATCAAAGTTTTATGTGGCACGAGAGCCCTTACGAATGAAATAGTATCTTTAATAAAGAATAGACCGTGTGTAGAAATGTGATTGGACGAAAGGATATGACGTAATGGGAAATGATGATGAGGGGCTGGATCTCAAATCCTGTTTGTTCAGATCTCGTTGTTTTCTGTGGATGGCATCCCTGCTGTCAGGTAGAAGACAAGGCCTCTTCTGGAATAAGAGTCTGATGGTCTACTTTCAGACAGGCAGCAAAGAGAATTTTTTTCATGGCTAACTACAAGACAGAAAGATGGGTAAAGGTCAAGGTTTCTAGGTTTTGTGTCTGGCTTTTGAAGAGAAAGGGTCTCATTTCAGTGACCCCCCAACTTGAGAAATTCTAGTTTGTTTCATGTTCTTAACATGAGAAAGGGGAATAGGGAGAAGACCTGAAAAGTCCTTTCCAATATCTTTCCTTCTAAGTATTCAGCATGCCAATTCACTTTAGGGTACCATTTTCTAAGCTTTTATGAGAGTTAAAAAATATAATCAATCCAACAGTAATACTAGTTACAATATATGGACTATACAGTACTTACTGTATAAATGTTTTTTGTCCATCATGGGGCTTAAACTCTGGCCCTGGGCGCTGTCCTTCAGCTCTTCAGCTCATGGCAAGTGCTCTACCACTTGAGCCACAGCCTCACTTCCTAAATGTTTTTTCTCATTTAGCCTTTTTAAAAATCAGTCCTTTTTTGAGTATAATGATTCTATTTTCTAAATGAAGAAATAAAAACATAGAACTAAAAAAAAAACTTCTAGAACTTACCTAAGAGTTCAGAAATTATTGAAGTCTCAAGTCTTGATCCCATCTTTAATCAATTGCACTACTATGTCCAACTTCAGAAGTTTTGAATATAAACATTTAGGCCATTTACCTTTAATGTAATTATTGAATACTCTTTTTTCAGTACCAGAGTTTGAATTTATTGCCCCACAGTTGCTCATCTGGTGCTCCACCACTTGAGCCATACCACCAGCCCACCATTTGACTGATTATTTTGTAGACAGAGTCTCACAGACTTTTCTGCCCAGGCTGGCTTCAAACCATAATCCTTCAGATTGCAGCTTCCTAAGTAGCTAGGATTATATGTTTGGACAACTTGGGCCTGGAATTGTGGAATACTTTTGTTTAAATTTACCATTGTATAATTGGTTTTCTATTTCTACCAGATTTTTACTTCTGCTGTTGTCCTCCCCTTCCCCTGCTTCCTGTCTTCTCTGGAATTAATTGAATAGTTTTAACATCCATTTTTGTGCTTTGTAGGTTTATTAGTTATAACTTCTTGTTTTATTATTTCAGTTATTTCTTTTGGGTATAGTATAGATCTTTGGTTACACAAGTTTATGCCTTTTGTAATATATAGAACACATAAATCTTACAATTTTAGTCTCATATGCTCTAATATATAACCTCAATCAGTTGAGAATTTCTCTTTCTCAATATTGAATTTGTTCAATCCTAGAATAACTCTAAGCAGTCCTACTTGGGTTATATACTCATCTTTAGTCCCAGCAAAAGTACAGAGACATGATATTTTTATCTGCCTGAATTTCTGCAGCATCCCTTCCAGAATTTCAAGGAGTTAGGAAGGAATTCACTAAAGGAATGAAAGAGTAGATAAGTAGAATAGTTAGCCAAAATTTTTAGCTATTATAGGCTATAGACTACAGAAAGAGGTTATAGGTTGGCAGGTAGAGAGTTCACACATGCTTACTATAAATTTCCATTCTATCTGGCTAACATTATTAATCTTAGTCACCTAATGCAGAAGCAAATGGAGCATTTCTTCCCATAGCATTTTACTTTCCTTTGTGCCCTCCAGGGCTCTCAGCCACCAGTGACACTTCTGTATATCTGATTCCTGTCAAGCTCAAAAAGAAGCCAGATACTAAGGCTCCTTTATGTTTGACTCTTAACAGAATTTCAGAAAAGCTTTTACCAAGAATCTAAATGCTTCTATGTAAAATAGAATTTCTCAGCCTTGGCTCCATTCACATTTTGGACTAGATAACTATGCATCTTTGTGCAATCAGTATATGGTATTTTACAGCCTCCCTGGGCTCTGCCTACCAGATGTCAGTAACAAACCCTCAAAAATAATTGTAAAAAACAAAAAACAAAAAATAATTCTCTATGCTTGAGAGACTGAGATCAGGAGGACCAATATTCAAGGCCAACAAAAGTAAGAAAGTTTACAAGATGCCAAACAATATCTAGATACAGCGCTGTCACCTGTCATCCTAGTTTTGTGGAAGTCTGAAATAGAGAAGATAGCAATTCCAAGCCAGTTCTGAAGAGAAAAGTCCATAAGATGCCCTCTCAACAGAAGGTGTGTGGTAGCATACATCTGTTGTCCAAGCTGAGAGACAAAAATAGGTGGAATACAGGTCCAGGCATGCACCTGGACTGGAAGTAAGACCCCCCCATCTCAAAAAATAACCAGCAAAAAAAGAGGGACAGAGGTGTGGCTCAGTGATAGAGTACAAAAGAATAATCTCAGGTAGTGTCAAATATTCCATAGATGAGCAATATCACTCTTGAATGAGGACCCCACTGGCTTAAGAGAATGTTTATAATCATCAGATTCTAAATGGTCTTCATGCCAGGCTTGCATGACCGGATAGGGGGAAAAGCACAGAATAGTCATCAAATGCCAATGAACTACTGTTCCACAGCACAGCCTGTTCAAGTCTCTTCTTGGGACAATGATTGCTGTTCCCCACTGCAGGATTTAGCCCTAGTTTCCAGCCTCTCCTCACACATAGTCTAGCCACGTGATTCCCTTGAGATTGGAGCTCCAGGCACCAGGGAGGCCTGGACTGTTAGAGGGAGATGATTTATTTACATGAGGCAGGATGCGATGCACTGAGACACAGACACCCATCTGCCTTAGCGGCCAGATAGATCCCTTTGCCGCCTCCTCCTGTGGAAGCAGTGAGAGGAAGAGGTTGGGCGAGGTGACCTTCCAGAGCTGAATCTGTGCTTCTAAAAATAGAAGCATCTTCAGAAAATCCAGGAGGGGAGGGGAGAAGAAGAGGGAGTCTGTGGTGTTGAGGGGAAAAACCTGACTCCCCAGAGCATTGTCACTATGAGACCGGATTAATTAGACACAGGCACCCAGCTCGATAACCTCAGGTAGCATTCAGAAACTGAAGCTAAATGAACTATTTTTTTTCTCTCTCTCTCTCCCATGTCACTCTCCCTGGGCTAAAAAGAGAGGGAGATTTGTGCCTTCTGACCTATTTGAAGGAATGCATTCTGCCTAAGGAGATGTTTTCCACAGGGGGAGGAAATGGGAGCTTCTTAGAGGCACACCCAGGAAGTGAAGGGCTGTAGCAAACTATCAGGGGCAGACAGCAGGGTCTTCTGGGGTCCCAGGCTCTACTGTGCTTTCCCTGCATGGAAAATGCAGGAGTAGACGAGGGTCCAGGTGTGTCCAAGTGGCATGTTGGCAGGTGTGTGGGTGCGTGGGAGTGTCATGGATTCTCTCTTGGGCTTATGCAATGTCCTTTCTTGTGAGCTATATGAGGAGTTGAAGATTGTAGAGTCTTAGGGAGCTATATGCTGATTTTCAGAGCTTCTGTGTGGTATTCTGGGGGTAGGGACTGGGGGGGCGTCTGGAGGAGGGATGCAGAATTGTATGTGGATAGTGTGACTAATTTGAAGTGACTATGGAGGGGGCTTGATGGAGTGAGGTAGGGCCCTGTTTGCAACACTGCACAGTCAGGTGATGCGTGTGCAGAGTGAGCCTGACCTGGAGTGGGTCTGCTCCACCCTCTGAGGCTCCTGTCTGCATAGCTTTGAGCTGGGAGCTCTGTGTGGATTTCAGGGGGAAAGACATGAGTGGAACCTCATGGGGAGGGAGTCCATGAAGGATTATTAAGACTGAGGAGAGCGTCTGCTCTCAAGCTGTGTTTCTGGGTTGTGGAGACCCGTGTGGGACTATGCAGGCTGTAAGCATAGATGGTGGCTGATGGCCTCCTCTTTGCCATCTAAATATAGGCTGTACTTCCTTGGTGGGGCGGGGAGAGGCTCCAGGAATGCAGGGATGTACTCTCCATGTGACTGATGTGAGCAGAAGAGGCATCAAGGGCTCAGAAGGTGAGCTAAGGAAGCCCTGTGACCCCTCCCAGTGCTGCCCTGCCATGGAGCTCCTTAGTGTGAGAAAGAAGATGTTGTAACACTTAGCTTTGTGCTTTCTCAACAGGACAATGTGGATCTTGGAGAGCTGATGTTTTCCCTCTGCTACCTTCCCACGGCTGGCAGGCTGACCATTACCATTATAAAAGCAAGGAATTTAAAGGCAATGGACATAACAGGGGCATCAGGTGAGCCATCCTAAAATTCAGACTTTCTCATCAGAGTCTAATGAAGCACCTTATGAAGTTTTGAACAGTGATAAAGCATATTGAGTCTGGACACAAACTTCCTAAGCTTAATCTCATTCCTGCCACCTAGGAACTGTATGACCTTGAGCAAGTAAGTCCCTTAACCTCTCTGGGCTTCCATTTCCAGCCTGTTACATGGACAGGGTCATAGAATCTGGCTCATTGTGTTGTTGTGACATTAAGTGGCTTAATACATATGCAGCAATAAAATAGTGTCTGGTACCTACTAAATTCTACATATCATTAGCTATTTTTATTCTCCCTCACCATTAGTGTGAACTAAATTTACAGTTTCCACAAGCTGATAAAGCTTATGTAGTTAGGTCTTTTCTCAGATAACCATCCCAGGCTTATTCAAGATTGCAAACAATCCTGCATCCTTATAGAAGTCATCTACACAGGGTTTAGTTTGGTTTTGTCTTTCCAACAAATCCAGCATGTAAACATAAATTCTAACCAAGAAAAAAGTATCTCAATATGCAATTTCTACAACACAAATTTACTAGCAGAACCCGCTAAACACGGTCACAAACATCCAGGACACATTGTCTCATAGGCTGAAATCAAAGAGCACCATATGCAGTAAATACTATACCACACACCAGAGGATTTATAAGTTTAAGATGTGGCCTCTGGTTTATAAGCCTCTCCTGGAAGGGGTAAGAAATCAGTGTGTGTGTGTGTGTGTGTGTGTGTGTGTGTGTGTGTGTGTGTGTGTGTACTAGTCTTGTCACTAGTCACCTCATCGCAGAGTTGCTCTAGGAGCAGGTCTAAGTCCTTTTGCTCCCTGATGGACAAATTGCTTCTCTCTTTGTTAATTGACCACAGGTAGTTCTATGGGCTTCTTCTGCTTATGGGCATCCATCCCCAGAACTTTCCCACCCTCTAGCAATTCAGAGACTCTGAGATGCAAGGAGTTCTCTTCTCCTCTTTTTTGAGTACTGGAGTTTGAACTCAGAGACTTTACCACTTCTGCTGTGCCCTCAGCCCTTTTTTAATGTAGCTATTTTTCAGATAAGTTCTTGTGTGTTTTGCCTGGTATGGCCTTGGACCACACTCTTCCTATCCTTCCTTGTAGCTAAGGTTCAGAGTGAGTGCCACATGTCCAGTTTCTTTGTTTTTTTTTTTGCGGGGGGGTCCGGTTGTGGAGCCTGAACTCTGGGCCTGGGTGCTGTCCCTCAGCTCTTCAGCTCAAGGCTAGTGCTCTACCACTTGAGCCACAGCGCCACTTCTGGCTTTTTTCTTTTTGCTTATGTGGTGCTGAGGAATTGAATCCAGGGCCTCAGGCATACAAGGCAGCTCTACCACTGAGCCACCTTCCCAGCCCCCCAGTTTCTTTGTTAAGATAGAATCTCCCTTTATTTCCAGGCTAGCCTTGAAATGTAATCCTTCCTATCTCTGCCTCCCAAATAGTAGGAATTCTCTTTCCTAAAGACCTAATCTTGGGTTGGGGTCATGGGTGTGACTAGACTAGTAGGGTGCTAGTCTAGCATGCCGGTGGCCCTGGATTCAATCCTCATTACTGTAATAAAGAGATCTAATTTTAGAAAAAAAAATCCCATGCAGTGGAGTTGAAGGCCCAAGGCCTGATTCCCATTCCTTAGAAATGTTTGTGCATTTTCCTTCAGATGACAGAGAAATTGATAATATCTTCCACTTTGGCAGCAGATGTTTTCATACTATTTTTAGATTTCACACATTTTAAAGAACACTGTCCTATACTTTTTCTTGAATGAATGACTTCTTTATGCTAACTAGTCACTGCCTATTACATTAATTAGCATTCCCAAACTGCAGTCCACACATAGGCAAAGGATGCAATATAGACTATGCAAGCCCATAGTTTGTATTTATCTTCACTGTAGCACTGCTTCTCATGGTCTCTGCAGATCCTTACGTGAAAGTCTCCCTGATGTGTGATGGCAGGAGACTGAAGAAGAGAAAAACGTCCACCAAGAGGAACACGCTGAATCCTGTTTACAACGAAGCCATAGTCTTTGATGTCCCTCCCGAGAATATTGACCAAATCCATTTATCCATTGCTGTCATGGACTATGACCGGTGAGATGCCTGGAATGCCTTTTCCATGGACGCCCACTGTGCCCTGGGAAGGGAGGACAGAGGTGGAACAGATAGGAGGCTCAGTGGGGTCCCAGGCCACAGGGAGGGACAGAAGGAGTGCACATGGAAGGCAGGTTGACCAGGAATCCCCACTGTTCAAACCATGGGGTAAAATCAGACTGCCACAGGGCCTCTCAGCTCTTCTACTCTTCGCTTTTCTCTTCTATATCTTCCTCTCTGTCCATTCTCTTTGTGCCCTACCTCTCCCCCACACACACATTTCTGTACATTGATACTTCAGAAACTGTGGCCCCATGAATCTTGGGTTCTGTCAAGCAATCCAGATTACCTTTAGGGGAAAGATTCCACACTAAACACCAGACTATCAACATTTCTAAATGCATAACTTCTATCTTTTTTTTCCCCCTTCTGGCAGTGTGTTTAATAAAGATCATTTCCATCCACTTAAGTCTGAAAGCAAACACAGAAATGTTCTCTTGAAAATGCTAGAATCAGTATGGATGACAGGGTACATTAAAATGTATAAGATGCTAGACTTTTTAATTAATACAGCACAGAAGAGATATTTATAGTCTGCATTGTAGCCAATTGTGTATTTAAAGGACAGATTTGAAAAAAAAATACAGTCATTTTAATATGCAAAGGAAGTACCAACAGGGAATTATACATGTTAAACCAGTCATTAGACTGAAATGCAAAGTCTCTTTTTAATTAGAAACCTCCCACGTGGTCTGAGCATAGTTATAAAGGAAAAAAAAAAACATTCTGACTTCTAATATAATCTTACAAATCTTATTGGTTGCTAAAACATTTTGCACATGCCTCTGAAATGTCAGCAAGGCAGCATCAGTGACCTGAACTCTTTCCCAGCAGATGCCTGGGCAAAGCATGACTGTGTTCCAACATGGCTTCCTGTGGGTGTGATAGCCCATGCTGGGCAATAGCCTGGTCCCATCTCTCCTGGGCAATACTATAGTGTGTGTCAGTCCCTGCTGGGGGTAGGAAGGATTGCTGCCCACCCACTGTAAAGCTAGGCCAACATTCTCCAAGCTATTGCCAAGTTTCCTGCATCAATAAATCTGATTATGTGATCTCTGCCTTGATGTAATTATCAGTAAACTCATGAATCTGGCTTGGAAAAAAAAATCCATGGCAGAATCCAGGGGCTGCTGCGTGCATCTGATTTTAATGAGAAGAGACTTGATTATCCTGCACACGCTACCTCTCCACCACCTCCACACAGACACAGCAAAAATTACTCGTCGCAGTAGGGAGGAGAGAAAAAAAAGAAAGTCTGTGAGTTTGGATCCCAAACAGTTAAAGGGTACACCATAGTTTTCCAGTTCGGCAAAGGACTTTTAGCAACAACAATAATATCAATAATAATAAGTTATTGTTTAAACAAAGCCAGAAGCCTACTTAGGGAAACTTTCCAGAGATCGGCCCTAAGGTTAAAGGAGCTAAGTATCTTTGTACAGTTGATAACTCAAGTTGGGTCAAAGAAATAAAGCTAAACTTAGAAGGAAGGAGAGAAGAGCATGATACCAGTATTCTTTAATGAAAGGGAAAGCAAAAGAATACAGGCACCTTCTCCACCCTACCCCATTGGTGAGCTGCCTGACTCACCAATCCTTGGTTTCCCTTTGTGTGATTTTCTTCTTCTATACCAAAATTTTAAGAAAAAACTATTGTGGGCCCTTTTCACAGTGTAGGTCACAATGAGATCATCGGCGTGTGTCAAGTAGGCAACGAAGCTGAGAGGCTGGGCAGAGAGCACTGGAGTGAAATGCTGTCCTATCCCAGGAAGCCTATTGCACACTGGCACTCCCTAGTGGAGGTAAGAGCTACCCCCCTGTGCTTTACATTGCAGAACAGTAAATGCCTTGTGGAATTGCAAAGACCCCAGCCTGCATGAAATTCAGCCAGGCTCTGAAATTACACCCTGGTGGTGGTGTTTCCTGGAGCCACTGAGACTTATAGGCAATCTGAGGTTTTTGACCCTCTCTCACTTGTACTGTCCTTCAAAAAGATCAAGATGTTCTAACTTGGTGCCAGATCTGAGTGAGTGTGGACTTGCTGTTTGTTGAATGTTGCCTGGAGCCGGACTTTACTTAAAGAATTCCAGTCTGGGACAGAAGTCTTGAATTCTCAGACTGACTCTGGCACTGGCATGATTCTGAGTCAGTTAGATACTGTCCATTTCAGATATTTAATAATAATGCATACATGAAATGGAAATTTGTTTCTTTTTTGTATAAAAAGTCCTGAAGAAGTCATTCTAGGCTCTCATAGTGATAAATCACAGTGACAGACTCCATGATCAACAGAGACCTTGACTTCTGCCTGTCTGTTTTGCTGTCTCAATGTTGTTGTATTTTTAATTTGTAAAAGTTTTATTGTAAAGGTGATGTACAGAGGGGTTGCAGTTACATAAGTCAGGTAATGAGTACATTTCTTTTTTTAACAGTGTCACCTCTTCCCTTGCTTTTTCCCAGTTTTTTACTCCCTACAAGTTATATAGCTCATTTTCAACTAGTGAGTGTCTAGTGAGTATCACTGCTGCATTTGTGTACCCCTGTCCCACCATTTCTGTACTTCCCCTTCCCCTCCCCAAATCAGATAAACTTACATACATACATACTTCCATACATAAGGCAAAAGGTACAGAAATCAAAAATAGCAGCAAAAGGGGAAAATAGAAAAAAAAAAGAAGAAAAAAGACAAAAAGTAAAATAAAAAACCCTTGTTTTCATTTCTTGGAGTCCATTTTGTTAATTATCATGTTATATGATAGTAGGAACATAGCTACTAATTAATAATAATGCACATAGCCAATTAATTTTCCTTGTATTTACCTCACTGTACAGTATGGCTGTTAAGCTCTAACCATCACATATCTATTGGCCAAAAGTAAAAGGTCAAGGTGTCAAAAGTTTCTCTCATTTCTTAATGAGAGAAGGAGGGAAATGAATATCTGCAGGCAATCAGCCATCATTCAGCCTCACCCACCTTCCTCGATTTATTTCCCTTTCCCTTCTCATTCACTTGTTCTCCCACTCATCATTTATTTCCTCCAAAGTAATTTGCAGCCAGGCACCAGTGGTTCATGCCTATAATCCTAACTATCCAGGAGGCTGAGATCTGAAGTTCATGTTTTGAAGCCAGCTTGAGCAAGAAAGTGCATGAGACTTTTATCTCCAATGAACCAGCAAAAAAGCCATAAGGGGAGATGTGGTTCAGGTGGTAGAGCACTAGCTCTAAGTGAAAAAGCTAAGGGACAGTGCCCACACACAGAGTTCATGTCCCACAAACAAGAAAAGTAATTTGCACTCAGCAAATAACATTTCAGAGGATACAATGCCATGTAGGCATATAAAATTATCTTTTCCCTTGTAAAACTTGTAGATAATGAGAGAGACAGAAGATGGAGCCTAAGTTAATCTTTAAAGTGCACAGCTTAGAGTTGGAAGTGTGGCACAGTTGATAGAGTGCTAGCCAATGAGCAAAAGCATCAGGTACCAAGTCTGAGTCTCAGTCTTGGACCAAAAGGAAAAAATAAGAAAAGAATTAAGCTATCAGATTGCTGTCCATTGAAAGTGCTAAAAGGAAAGAGGTGTTTGTTGAGCTTACGAGAGATTGTCCATTAAGCCTGTCTCCTTCCTGCTCTTAGTAAGTCAAAAGAGTGGAGCCCCTCGCAATGGGAACACCAAAAACCAAGCAAGGTTATTTACCAAGGGTTTATGGTCTGCAGGCAGAGAACATCCCTCTGTGTTCTCCCAGTACAGTCATGTTCCTTTTATATCCATTCTCAGAGCTAGACAGCCTCTCTCAATGTGGCACCTCTGCCCTTGACAGAGCATCTGTACTGCATGTCCTTCAACCAGATGACTCTGATTGAAGTATGAAAGCAGCTGTGGAGAGGCTGAGGGGCCCCCACCAGACGTGAGGACTAAGAGACATCTCCATTGTAGGACTCGTGCAGAAGAGAGACTCCAAGCATCAGGGCCTCTTGCTATATTCAAGGATAATCTAGGCTCCTCTCATTTGCAGATCCCAAAAGATGTCTCTGCCCTAGGCCATGGAAGCTAAGATTCTCTTTCCTGATGTCAAAATTAATCCCTAAGGGAGGTTTCCAAGGACCTATGAGCTGCTGGAGAAGTAGCTATGGGACTGACTCTAACTGAAACATATCTTACTTCTTTATTTCCTGATAGAATTCTCAAAGGAGTCCATCTGTGGGCTTATTAAAGTGTCCAGGGTTGCCACCAGAAGTGGCAATATAATATATATAATAACAGCTATTACTAATACACTTCCTGTACCCTTAGTACTAGAATCAAAATCATAGCTAACTTCAATTCTGACTTGTTATCAGGAGTGTCAAAGCTCCATGACAGAAAATGGGACAGGAGTAACAACTAGAGGTACAGAGGAGCTGAGAAACAGCACTTCTTCCTTGATACTTGGGTAATACTGAGGGTATTGCAGGGGACCTGATAGGCAGTACCTTCATTGCGGTGCAGCCCTGGTCCTGAGCAATAATCAGTGTCCCACAAAGCAGCAGGGGGAAAGCAGGCCTTGGAGCCTTCTTCCACTGCTGAGGGAAAGTGCTTAACAACTTTGTCACCTGGGAGATGCTTCTTAAGTCCTGAGTACTCAGCTTTTTGCAAATCTGTGTTCAACAGTTATGTAAGTGAGAAATACATGTCTTCAGGGTTAAAGTACTGCAACTTGGGAGTCATTGGTGCAGCAGCTAGAACTACTTCAGCTAATACAATGGGTGTTTCTGAACTGCTGTAGCAGAACCAAGAAATGAAATTCTTGCACCCCTGGTATGAAATGCAAGCCAAGAGAGGCTTGTTCCTTCCCTGTTGCTTCCTTGACTCTTTGAAGTAATGTTCTGGAGTCCAGATCCATCCTGAAAGGGGAAGTGGTGCCTTCCCTTTTTAAAAATAAACATGGACGTGTCAGAATTGGAGCAATGGTACTGGATGAGATGAAAGCAGATGCGACGTAGGCCATGCTTTGTTGGAGACTATCTGGGTGGAAGAGGCCATAAGCAGCATTGAGATGTGTACACAGTGAACTTGCAGGTGGGGGGGGGGACCTAGATTCATACTGGTGGACTGCCACATGCTGGTTAGTGACTCTACCCTTTTGTAATGTGGCCATAGCAGTGCCTGTCTCTCAATGGCACTGATGGGGGTGGAGCACCTAGTCTAGGTGAAATGCAGCTCCGAGGGAGCACAAAACTGTTCAGTGATGTCCTCACCCATCATCATCATGTATATCCCCTATTCTCACAGGCTGCTGTGCTTCCTCCTGACACTGTCATATGAGGAAACATAATGTTCGTCATGGAGAGGAAGACAAAGAAAGGGAAACCCCAGGCCCGTGGCCCAGTATCAACTCAGACTAGGGGAGCAGCACACTCAGCACTTAGGTGGGCACAGATGCATACTGTGCATATTTGCTGTAAATATATAAGTTGTTTGTAATGCCTTTTAGAATTCTACTTTAAGGTAAAAGCATTGCAAAATCCCAGGTCTCTTGGCAAGTGTGAGTGACATGAGTGTATGTGTGCGCCTGTGCCCACATTGTGTGTGCACTTACACACACACACACAACACACACACACACACACACACATACACGGTATAAGAGAGAGGACAGACGAAGTAAGGAGAAGCTGGAATTTAATGTGAAGGGAGGCTGGCCCGGCAGAAGCCCCTCACTGCCCAGGAACCAAGGGACCAGGCTAGAACTGAACCCTGACACCTGCAGAGATCTGGCAGCCCACTTAGGGCTGTATCCAACGTGCTCTGACCTTGGCAGGGCAGGTGGCAGATGGAGTCTTCAAAGCCAATGAATTTAAAAATCCATTTCTCTCTCAGGGATTCTGGATGGCTTCACTGCACACTCAAAGGTCAGCCAATACCACTCCTTTTACTCTCCATCACATCAACAGCCTAGAAAGCTGGGTAAACTCCCCCAGAAGAGGCTACCTGGGACTTGGAGATAGAAACATCCCTGCCATTGGACCACCAGAGATGGCAGAGAGTTAGGGGTCCTCATACCATTACATCAACTTTTGTACATCCAATCTAAGATGATGTTGGCCCAGCTACATGTGGCCCCCCCTCTCCCACTCTTCTGAATGTCATGCTGACCTACATTATGATCTTTGGGAAGAATAACAGGAAATAGTTCCAGGTTTGCATCACTCCCTTGAGTGCTGCTATGTAACTTCGGTGTTAATGAGTAGTGAATTTGGCTTAATGAGAAGCCAAGCTTTCAGGTGCCATTTGGTTACATTAAATTTTAGTTTTATGGGAGAATGAAGAACAACAATCCAATCTGAATCTGTAGTAAAGATCAGCCTCGTTGAGTTAGGGGTGAGGCTAGAGTAGAACATTTTTCAAGCAAGCACAAGGCCCTGATTTCAATCCTCAGGGCCAGAAGGAAAAGAAAGGATAAATAATGTCATCCTAATTGGTAGAGGTATGGGGTTCTAACCCCTGAAATCCTACTCTAGGCTACTAACATATGATCAGACTGCTCTCCAAGCCCAGTCTTCATATGTGTATGTGCATCCGAGTAGAGCAGATCTACACCAGCATGGTTGTTGGGACCACCTGATTGAGTTTTGTACAATTCCAACGTAACCATGTGTTTAAGATACCCTCACATAAACAAGAGTCCTTGCTCATCAGCAGCAGCCTCATTAAGTAAGTGTGTGAACTTTCAATCTGAAGCAAATGTTGGTTACCCAAACTTGTTTTGAAACTATATTAGCAGCCCCTTTAAACCATCTCTAGATATTTCCTATCAAGAACTCAGCAGAGCCTTTTTTGGGTCTTTGAGGATCATAGACACCCAGAACACAGCATTATTTTTCAGGCTGGGTCATGGAAA